TAACAATCTGCATTATGCAGATGATACAATCCAGCTTGCTGAAACTGAGGAGGAACTGAAGCACTTGCTGCAGAAGGTCAAGGACTGCACCCTTCAGTATGGATTGAAGCTCAACATCAAAAAGATAACGATTCTCATCATGATGAATGATGAAGAAATTGAGATTGTTAACAGCTTCAGTTTGCTTGGCTCTGCCAACATTCTTGGTACTAGCAGCCAGGAAATTAAAAGACGAATTGCAATGGGAAAGTCTGCTGTCACAGACCTTTCCAAAGGACTGAAAAGCAACAGTGTCAGTCTGGAGACTAAGGTGCATCTGATACAGGCCATGGTCTTTGCAGTTACTGGCTATGCATCAGAGAGCTGCACAATGACTAAGGATGATAGAAGGAGAATTGATGCCTTTGGGGTTTAGTGCTGGAGAAGTGTTGAATATACCGTGGACTGCTAGGAGAACAAACAAGTTGGTCCTGAAGAGGGTGAAACCAGGCTGCTCCTTGGAGTCAAGGATTCTGAAGCTTTGTCTGACATACTTTGGACATGTTGCGAGGTGGGATCAGTCCTTGGAGAGGGACGTCATGCTTGGAAGGGTGGAGGGACAGCACAGGAGAGGAAGACCTTCAAAGAGATGGACTGATTCAGTCACTGCAGTAATGGGGATAGGTGTGTCGGAGAGAAATAAGATTGGCAAGGGATAGAGCAGGGTTTAAGGCTGCTGTATGTAGAGTCACTATGAGTCGCAGGTGACTCCATGGCACATAACAACAAATGATCCTACCATAACTCTTTGAATAATAAAGCTCTTAACCAGTAACCCTTTTAACTTTTGAATAACAAACCCTTAATCCATTGCTTTTAAGTTAATTCCAACTCATAATGACTCTCCATCCAGTTTTTGAGGATGTAAATCTTAATGTTATGAGGTTGCTCACTTTTCTCTGAAGGTGCTTGTGGTAGACTCAAACCACTGACCTTTTGGTTAGCAGCAAAACACACTATGCCACTAATGCTTATTCTTTTTTTTTCTTTCTTTTTAAAAAAATTTATTATTAATTTCAATGAAAATTTACAGAGATTTTGGATTTCCATTCATTTATTGTTGCACTTTTCTCCCCTCCCAACAATCCTCTCTAGTACACCACCCTCTTGGAAAAGTAAAAGAAAAATTACTTCATTGTTTTACAGTCCCTCCCCCAAGGTCCACTCCACTATACAGCCTTTGCTCTGGACTCCAGTGATGACAAAAATCCCTAATAATTTTCCCTCTTAAACAGTTTTCTCCCTCATCTGTTTCAATACAGTATACATTATTGAAGCCATCCTTCTCAGTCTCCTCCCAACCCCCAGGTCAGTCCTGCTTTACAACAGTGGAACCATGCAGTATTTGTCCTTTTGTGACTGAGATACTTCACTCAGCATAATGTCCTCCAGGGTCACCCATTTTGAGTAATATTGCATGAGCTGCTTGTTTTTCAATATGCAGCATAGTATTCCGTTGTGTGAGTATACCACAGCTTCTCTATCCATTCATTTGTTGATGGGCACTTGGGTTGTTTCCAACTCCTTGCTATTGTGAACAAAACTGCGATAAACATGGGTGTGCATATATCTCCTTGGATGTCAGTTACAGTCTCTTTATGGTATATTCCCAGTAGTGGAATTGCTGGGTCAAATGGTATCTCTATTTGCGACTTTTTGAGAAAGTGCCATACAGCCATTTTACACTCACACCAACATTCTTAAGGACTTTCTTTGAGAAGATATTAGAAATAAGAGAAAGAAATGCTTATGATTGAGCATTGCAGAGTGTACAATTAAACATACAGTGCTTGGGTAGCACCTGGATTTCACCCAGTGAGACCCTAAGTGGAGGATCCATCTAACCTAACTTGCACTAAGTCCTCTGATTCACAGAAACAAATAATTTTTGTCATTTTAATGACTAAACTCA